TCAATAAAATGCACCTGTGTTCGTTGTCCATAACATACGCCTGCCCATACCATAACCCCATGGGCCACTCGATCCACAACATTGACATCAGCAAACCGCTCACCCACACGACGCCATACACGCTGTATGGCGTCGTGTGGGTGAGCGGTTTGCTGATGTCAATGTTGTGGATCGAGTGGCCCATGGTGGCGGTGGGGTTAGGATATGGGCAGGCGTATGTTATGGACAACAAACACAGGTGCATTTTATTGATGGCATTTTGAATGCACAGAGATACCGTGATGAGATCCTGAGGCCCATTGTTGTGCCATTGATCCACGACCATCACCTCATGTTGCAGCATGATAATGCACGGCCCCATGTTGCAAGGATCTGTACACAATTCCTGGAAGCTGAAAACATCCCAGTTCTTGCATGGCCAGCATACTCACCGAACATGTCACCCATTGAGCATGTTTGGGATGCTCTGGATCGGCGTATACAACAGCGTGTTCCAGTTCCTGCCAATATCCAGCAACTTCGCACAGCCATTGAAAAGGAGTGGACTAACATTCCACAAGCCACAATTAACAACCTGATCAACTCTATGCAAAGGAGATGTGTTGCACTGCGTGAGGCAAATGGTGGTCACAGCAGATACTGACTGGTGTGCCGTTCTCAAGCCCGCCGTCTCTGCTCACTCTAGCCCTCCGGCCGTTCCTCACACTAGCCCCCGGCCTCTGCTCACTCTAGGCTTCCGCCACTCAAAACCTTCCAAAAATATACACGACTAGAAATCAGTGGTTAAGTTTTATTTACAACACTGTTCCAGAACACTTCAACCCAAATATTCAGATGTGTGCAGCCCATTTTATGGAGGACCGTTTCCTGATCCTGGGACAGCAGACTACAATGCTGGCTGTTCTGACTCAAAGACTGTAAGTAAGTTTTTTTATATTTAAAGAGTTTTTATATTTTATATATTTAAAGCGAGTTTTTTGGGCAGTGTAGAGTAGGGCTTGTTGTTTGTCATTTCTCCGATCACAAATGCAGACATGGTTTTATGTTTACACGGCGCGATGCAATGCACGCAAAGCAGTTATTGTAAATGAAATGATCACAGATAATAGTTTTGATGTACTCTACTTGACTGAAACCTGGCTAAAACCAAATGATTATATTGGTCTAAATAAGTCTACTCCACCAAGCTACTGTTATAAGCAGTGGCGGCTCGTGGGTTTTAAAATAGAGGAGGCACACTAATTGTATTGGTCTGGGATCCGTGCCGATTGTTATTATTATTATTTGCTTAACCAATTTAAAATGGCTTTTTGGTTGCTTTTAGTCAGAAAACGTAAAGAAAAGTAAACGACACATACAGCCAGATCAATTTCACTTACCTGGCCTATCACTTGAAGCAAACATCTATCCTTTCTTAAAAGTCTGTGTTAAAAGAGAGCTGCCTGTTGCGCCATTTAATTAAGCGACTGCTGTAGCCTATATCCAGCTTAGGCTGTTTTCCCTAAATTTGTATATATACTGTTTGAATGACAGCTTGGTAAATCTGTTGGCAATCAAATATTCAATATCGCTACTCATAAGTACTTGGTACATTATCAGCGCAGCGGCAGACGTTCAAACTAATATCACGTAATTTAGTCTCTATGATGCTTGGAGCCCCGTCAGACTGATTGTGGCGGCGGTGTTGCAACAATATATAGTGATATACTCAATGTTACTCAGAAGACAAGTTACAGGATTAACTCATTCTAAATACTAATGCTTAATGTTACACTGTCAGATATGCAAAAGTAAATTGAGACACTCCATATGACCTTCAATCTGTCAGAGCCACTTCCACTTTAAATCACTTTCGTGGTGCAGTTACACCAATTCCACATCTGCCCCGCCCCTATTAAAATGCAACCAATTGCAAGTACTTTTACATGCACACATGTCCAGCATCACCTCTGTTTCTTAGAGCAAGCACACAATGCACACAACGGTGAGGTCAAATGTAGTTAGCTTACCATGTTGGACAAATTAGTCACTAGTCACAAATTAGTCACAAATTGGACACTAGTTAACAAACTCTTGGTGCAATAGGTAAGCAATGCTTTAAATCTGAGCATTTCTCAAAAACACTTGTTTTTTTAAAAAATGCAGTAAAAACAGTAATATTGTGAAATAGTATTACAATTTAAAATAAATATATTTTTTAATATTTTAAAATGCAATTTATTCCTGTGACGCCAAAGCTGAATTACCAGCAGCCATTACTCCAGTCTTCTGTGGCACATGATCCTTCAGAAATCATTCTAATATGCTGATTTGCTGCTCAAAAAACATATGTTGTGCTGATTATCAGTATCAGGTCATACTTAGAAGGGAGAGGTTATTATGTGAGTATAGGAGAGCATAAGTCTAAGTGGATGTCCATGACATGCAGAGTCCTACAAGGCTCAATTCTTGCACCGCTCTTGTTTAGCTTGTATATGCTCCCACTAAGTTCTACTAAACTCGTAGTCTTGAGCGCAAATGGAGAAAAACTAACTTGGAAGTTTTTAGAATTGCGTGGAAAAACAGTATGTCCAGCTATAGACAGGCTCTAAAAGCTGCCAGGGCCGAGCATTTCCACAAACTCATAGAAAATAACCAAAACAATCCAAGGTTTTTATTTAGCACAGTGGCTAGATTAACAAATAACCAGACGCCACCCGATCTAAATATTCCCATATTAATATTATCTAATATTCACACAGTTTTATAGTAATGACTTTATGAATTTCTTCACTGATAAAATAGATAACATAAGAAATACAATAACAAATGTAGATTCTACAGCGTATAATACTTCAGCTTCATTCATCGCACCAAAAGATAAACTGCAGTGCTTTACAACTATAGGACAGGAAGAGCTAAATAAACTTATCACTGCATCTAAACCAACAACATGCCTGTTAGATCCTGTACCCACTAAATTACTAAAATAGTTTTTACCTGTAGCAGAAGAACTGCTTCTCAATATTATTAAGTCGTCGTTGTCTTTAGGTCACGTCCCAAAAACATTCAAGCTGACAGTTATTCAGCCTCTTATTAATAAACCACAACTAGATCATTGTGAACTGGCAAGTTACAGACCCATTTCAAATCTTCCTTTTACAGTACGTCTAAAATTTTAGAAAAAGTTGTCTGCGCAATTGTGCTCCTTCCTGCAAAAAAATTATCTCTATGAAGAATTTCAGTCAGGTTTCAGGCCCCACCATAGCACAGAAACCGCACTTGTTAAAATTACAAATGACTTGCTTCTTGCGTCAGACCAAGGCTGCATCTCATTGCTAGTTTTACATGATCATAGTGCTGCATTCAATACTATAGATCATGACATACTCATAGATCGATTACAAAACTATACAGGTATTCAAGGGCAGACTTTACGATGGTTTAGATCCTACCTGTTCGATCGCTACCACTATGTTCATTTAAATTGGGAGTCATCTCAATTATCACCAGTAAAATATGGAGTGCCACAAGGATCTGTCCTAGGTCCTCTGCTATTTTCAATATACATGTTGCCCCTTGGTAATATTATTAGAAAATATGGGATTAGTTTCCACTGTTATGCTGATGATACTCGACTATATATCTCAACAAGACCAGATGAAAATTATCTAAGCTAACACGGTGTGTTAAAAATGTAAAAGATTGGATGACCAATAATTTTCTCTTATTAAATTCGGATAAGACCGAGATATTATTTATTGGACCAGAAGACAGTACACAGTACATCCGTCTAGTTGCAAATTGTAATCCAAGAGATTCTGTTACTTCCTCTACAGTCAAAAATCTAGGTGTTATATTAGATAGCAACTTGTCTTTTGAAAATCATATTTCCCATGTTACAAAAACAGCATTCTTCGATCTTAGAAACATTGCCAAGTTACAAAACATGTTACCTGTTTCTGATTCGGAAAAGCTAGCTCATGCATTCATGACCTCTAGACTGGACTATTGTAATGCACTGCTAGGTGGTTGTCCTGCATCTTCAATAAACAAGATAGTCCAATAGATACAGATAGTCCAAAATGCAGCGGCTAGAGTCCTGGTCAAGAAAATATGATCATATTACCCCAATTTTACAGTCTCCGCACTGGCTACCTATTAAGTTCTGTATCAGTTACAAAATATTATTACTTACCTATAAGGCCCTTAATGGTTTAGCTCCTGCGTACCTAACTAGTATTCTACTACGCTACAATCCATCACGCTCCCTAAGGTCGCAAAACTCTGGACTGTGATTAACATCCCGTGGTAACTAGGATTTACACAAGTTCAATCTGGATCCAGAACACCTGAGAAGAGATGATGCCAACCCCTCAGAGGACCTCAGATTATGCCAACCCTGAAACAACATACCGAACTACCAAATTTTGCTAAAGTTTGATTGCATCATATAATAATTGCTGTTAATAGTGTTAATCGTCTGTTTGATTATGTCTTTAATTGATTTTTCCGTACATTTCTGCCATATGTGCATTAACTGACAGTCACCACTGATAGGCTAACACTAAATATTGCAGAAACTTAATTTGTTGTAAAATTGCTTTGCAATGATTTGTATCGTGAAAAGCACTATACAAATAAACTTGAATTGAATTTTCCTGAAGACGTCTGAGTGTGGTGACTCTTGATCAGAGGTCCAGGGGTCATAAAGTAAAAGTCCTGTCATATGTTTATTCCACCCATGAACTCAGACAGCTGATTTCACCAGCTTTGTGCAGCAGTCAAGTTACATATGGATTCAGCTTTTCTATTTTAGTGGCCATTGATCAGCTTTGTATTGGTCTACATATTACTTTATATGTATAAGATGGTTTGGAAATTAAATGTGAGGGTAAGAGTAGGTGTGATGCACAATTGTTTGATTTAGATTTTTTTTCTTCATTTCTTAATACTTCTTTGCAGAGGACTGTTATGTTGGGACACACACACACACACACAAATACTCACACAAAACCAACCTTGAAAATGGAGTTTAAATTCTTCTTTGCTGTAGATGATTCTGATTCTTTAGGTTTTTGACTGTCAATCAAATATTGCAAAACACTGTTTTGACAACTATTGCATATTTTTGTAAATATGTATTTTTGCATTTAATACACATCAGTAAATTAATAAATAATATATATTTATTATAATGTAAGCTGAACAACACCTCAGATCAGCAGATGAGTCTCCCGAGCTGAATTGAATTGGACGATACATTGACGCGTCACTCTTCACGGACACACAGCTGGGTTCAGGAGATTCATTCTCATACAGACTGAAACACAACAGCAATACAAACTGTTTCTGAAAATATCACACTACTCTGACAGAAACACCTTTACTCTTTCAACCTCCCTTTAATTATTTGTCAGGTAATTCTGAATTACTGAATGAAAAGATTAAAGCGTTATCTTTCTGTAAATAAAAGGAATCTGCCCCATGTGCACTTATCATTCATTCAGTATAGAATACAATACACAAATATACACATAGATACAGACTGATGGAAACGTCCAGCAGCAGAGGTTTAAAGTCCAGGGGTCAGAAAGTAAAAGTCCTGCCATATGTTTATTCCACCCATGAACTCAGCCAGCTGATTTCACCAGAGGAGGAACCAAGTCATTCCTTTGAAGTCACAAGCAAGTCTCAAGTCAAATCCCAAGTCCTCAAAGAGTTAAAGTTAATGAGATAATTAAGTGACTAATTAAACGATGTGCATTAGTGATGAACACCTGCTGTTATTGAGAATTACAGAGGATCAGGTGTTGATGTTTTATTGGTTAAAATGATGTCACCATCATGGAGATCAGTGTTTGCTTTAGTTGGGCTTGTGACTTGAAAGGTATGACTTGGATTCTTCTCTGGTGAAAACAACTGTCTTGAGTTCATGGGTGGAATAAACATATGGCATGGCTTGAAATTTCGGATCCCTAGATTTTACACATCTGCGGACACCTGGTAATAATGTCTATAATACACCACATTTGCAGTATATATGACGCTCATAATATCTCACCTGGGCTCAACACACGAGTTGTCTTCTCTGCAGAGATCTGAAAGATTTTTCCTCACAGACTCATCGATGTGTTCAGGTAAATCTGAATCAACCCACTGAACCAGACTATAAATGGTAATGCTGTTGTAATATGCATTTATTGTTTCTGAACATTAAATGTGTAAAACATTTAAAGTTTTCTCACCGCTTGACTGTCTTTATGTTTATTTCAGGTTCTTCAGAGAGATTCATTCTGAAGGCTGTGGTTTCATTTAAAAGCAGATGTTTGTCCGCAGAGTGAGTTATGAATCATCTCAGCAATTAATTCTCTCAAATCCACCTCTGACTCAAAACACTTAGTCCAAAGTAATGGCCTGCACACATAAAAAAACTATTTTATCCTGAAATTATTTACACAGAATCATAATTTTCACAAAGAGCATAACTTCAGACAAGCACTGTGTTAAATGAAAATAAAGGTGGAATCTGTCAATTTACAGACTTTGTGTTTTTATCTCTTTATGTTGTTTACAGTGTTTTTTTTTGCTAACAAGCATTGTTCAATACTGAAGCCACATTTTCTAAACTTTTCACACAGTCTGCATTACCAACATGAATCTTGGCCAAACAGTTAACCTCACTTCCAAAACTCACTCAGACCAACAAAACACTTAATGTATGTCTCAGAGTAAGCTTGTTCCACCATAACACCGGCCACAATTCCCATTCAGAAAACAGACATTTCATTCATAACTCACTGACCTTAAAACCACAAACAATATGGAGCATTGCATAAATTATGAACTTTTACTCTATCGTTGAAGTTTGAATTATTATTTATTATACACAAGTATTTCATTATACAGTGAGAATAAATTTTTTTTATTTTACTGACTGTATTACAGCACAAGGAATGAATGAGAAAAACAACATTTTCTCCCTATATATTTATATACCAAAAGATATAGGGGAAACAAAGCTTGGATTACTGAAGCAATAAAACAAACAAAAAAAGCAATAAAAACAACAACAACAAAACATAATTTACCAAATTTACTTGTGAAAATAAAAAATAAATTAAAAGTGAACTGGAGACTGTAATTGTGTGTGTGTGTGTGTCATCCCTGTGATAGACTCTCCATCTGTCCAGGGGTTTTTCCTGCCTATGACCCAGGAAAGCCTCCAGCCTCCAGCCTCCCCATGACCCTACATAGGACGAGTCCTTTGGAAAGTGTATGAAAGAGTAGGTTGGATGGATGTACTGTACTGCGAGAGTCCTAGTCCTCCCTCTCTCTGCCACTCTTGCCCCCTCCCCCCAGTCCGCATCGACTTCTGTTTCGCTGAATGTGTGAAGAGTTTTGAAAATGTGGCTTCAGGATTGAACAATGCTTGTTAGCAATTGAAAAAAACTAAACAAAACTGTAAACATATCTGATTCAGCTTATAGTTGTACTTCACTTTAAACCAGTCTGGACTGATTCTGACTATCCAAAATTACACTGAAATAGTGATACTCACTGTGTTCTTCTCTCTCAATGTTGTTTACTTCCTCATATGACAAAATGGATCCTTCTATAATAGTTTCACTTTCATGCGTCACCTGACAAGGAGGAGCTTAAGTAAAACCTTTCAGCTGGGACTCACCCACGATGCTGTCGGCACAGACACTATGACAGCTGTTAAACTGAATATACAGTGGGTACGGAAAGTATTCAGACCCCCTTAAATTTTTCACTCTTTGTTATATTGCAGCCATTTGCTAAAATCATTTAAGTAAATTTTTTTCCTCATTAATGTACACACAGCACCCCATATTGACAGAAAAACACAGAATTGTTGACATTTTTGCAGATTTATTAAAAAAGAAAAACTGAAATATCACATGGTCCTAAGTATTCAGAGCCTTTGCTGTGACACTCATATATTTAACTCAGGTGCTGTCCATTTCTTCTGATCATCCTTGAGATGGTTCTACACCTTCATTTGAGTCCAGCTGTGTTTGATTATACTGATTGGACTTGATTAGGAAAGCCACACACCTGTCTATATAAGACCTTACAGCTCACAGTGCATGTCAGAGCAAATGAGAATCATGAGGTCAAAGGAACTGCCTGAAGAGCTCAGAGACAGAATTGTGGCAAGGCACAGATCTGGCCAAGGTTACAAAAAAAATGCTGCTGCACTTAAGGTTCCTAAGAGAACAGTGGCCTCCATAATCCTTAAATGGAAGACGTCTGGGACGACCAGAACCCTTCCTAGAGCTGGCTGAATACTTAGGACCATGTGTTATTTCAGTTTTTCTTTTTTAATAAATCTGCAAAAATGTCAACAATTCTGTGTTTTTCTGTCAATATGGGGTGCTGTGTGTACATTAATGAGGAAAAAAAATTAACTTAAATGATTTTAGTAAATGGCTGCAATATAACAAAGAGTGAAAAATTTAAGGGGGTCTGAATACTTTCCGTACCCACTGTATAAAGGCAGCATATCTATAACATATCAAACTTATGACTCTCTAGCTGTGTCCCAAACCGAAGTGCGTGGACTCCGGAGTGTGCATTTGAAGTGCGATTGCGTCACAGCGTCATGACATAAGCTGTCCCAATTCAGGATGCACCCTCCGAAGACCGCATTCCAAGGCCGATTGCGTCACCGCTGCGCAACGAAGGCTGGCGTATATTTCGAAAGCGACTTCAAATGCACCCTCCATTTCCCAGGAAAATCAGAATAAGAATGAGCTTTATTATTGCCAGGTATGCTTACACATACGAGGAATTTGTTTTAGTGACAGAAGCTCCACAGTGCAACAGAATGACAGTGACAAGACAGGACACAGATAATAAAAAGAATTATATAGAAATAGACAATGTACAAAAAAGCAAAAACACAATATATAATATAGACAATTTTGTATGTACAGGTATGATATGTGCAAATTTGAAATGTAAATAAGTATGTGTGTTAAATAATGTATACTAGTGTTGTGTGTTCCACAACACTAGTATACACACTTCATTCTGATGGACACTTCGCACCCTACTCTATCCCAGAATCGCAGATGACGACATTGTTTATATTCAAAGAACATGGAGGATGACAGTTCTGTGGGGGAATTCACATTGAAATGTAAGTATTGTGTTTTCATTTACTCAAATACCTAGCGAAAGTGTTAAAAGCCAGGTTTTTTTTAACACAAAGCCCACAAACAATAAGACAACCACTATATAAGGCAATAGTCTTTCCCTTTGTTGTGTTTTTGTAGTGCTGTCATGCAAGATATGTCTACAAATGTGTTAATCAAACTTTAGCACTTCAGTATTTTGTATGCATTTTGTATCGATTGCAAACCTGTCTTTATATTTTTCATAAGTGTTTCCATTTTCTCTTGTTTTAGTACTATTCTGGAGAAAATGAGCCTGCTGGGAAAAGACTTAAAAAAATAAAAGTAAGCAAGTTAATAGACAGACTTTTGCTGAAATTCATTGTGCTGTTGTTGTTAACAGGCATGGTTTATTTGCTCTGCCTTAGGATTGCAAGTGTCCTGGGACAGGTGAGGGAGGGAGTGGAAGCTGGTGGAGCTACTCAGAGAGGACATCAACTCCAGAGACAGAGGAGAGAAGAGCACAGGAGAGAGAGACTGCATCGGGGCAGTGAATGCTCTCAAAGATAAAGCTCGAAGAGCTCTATACGCAATCAAGAAAAAATTCCAAAATATTGAAATACCGCTTCCAATTTGGTGTAAAATCTTTGATAGTGTGATTCAGCCCATAGCGCTGTATGGAAGTGAGGTTTGGGGTCCACTCAGTGATCAGAACTACACTAGCTGGGACAGACATCCAACAGAAGCCCTACACACAGAATTCTGCAAAATGATTCTAAAACTACAAAGAAAAACAACCAATAACGCATGTAGGGCAGAATTAGGCCGATTCCCATTGATTATTAATATGCATAAAAGATCTCTCAAATTCTGGATGCATCTTAAATGAAGTCCCACAGAATCGCTACATTTTAAAGCGCTACAAACCCAAGAACTGAACCCCGAAAAGAGTCCACTCAGTCAGCTAGTTCTGAGACTTACTAACCTGACTAACTCTACTAACACTATCCAGTCTCAAACCAGCACTGCTTCTCATCCAAACATCAAAATAAATCAAATTATCAAACAATCTAAAAATACATATCTGGAACATTGGGATCAAGAAACTAAAACACAAAGTAAATTACAATTCTATCGAACCCTAAAATCAAATTATGAATTGGAAGATTATCTCCAGAGTGTCAGAGACACAAAGCAGAGACGGATCCTGAGCAAGTACAGGCTCAGTGAGCACAGTCTAGCCGTCGAGACCGGCAGACACAGAAAGAGCTGGTTACCCAGAGAGCAGAGAGTGTGTGCTCACTGTGAGACAG